GGAGGAGGAGGAGGAGGAGGAGGAGGAGGAAAGGACTGTGGGGTCCTTGGTGCTCTCTGAGCTTGGTGGTTTTCTTGCAGACGTTTCATTACCTGACTAAGTAACATCATCAGTGCCAGAAGGGTAAAGTAGGGTTTGCCAACGGGAGAAGGAGCAGGGGAGGAGAAGAAACAGGACTGTTTGCCCCTTGGTCTTCTCTGAGCTTGGTGGTTTTCTTGCCGACGTTTCATGGCCCATCTAGAGAACCCAGACATAGGGGAGAGAAAGCGCATATAGCTGCGTGGGAGAAATACCGAGAACTAGAAGGTTAACGTTTCTGAAGAAACAATGCTCCTTAGCTCCTGCTAATCCTGGTCTCCTTAATGACAGGTGTGTGAGGAGGCCAGGTGTCCCAACATTGGGGAATGCTGGGGAGGAGGTGAATATGCGACTGCGACAGCCACCATCATGGTAAGTTCATCCCCGGCCTCTGAAGATCCATTCAGAACAGGACGTCCACGTGCTCCAAGTCTTGTCTAGCGTAGTACAGATGGTCCTCGGCGTACAACTATATTGAGTCCAACATTTCTATACAAAAATAATGGAGTGAGAAGGGACCCTGAAGGTCTTCTAGTCTGACCCCTTGCTCAGGCAGGGAACCCTGTACGTTTCCTGCTTAATAAGCGACACAGTTAATTAATAGAATAGAATAGAATAGAATAAGAAGATAGGAATAGAAGAATAGAATAGAATAGAATAGAATAGAATAGAATAGAATAAGAAGATAGGAATAGAAGATAGAAATAGAATAGAATAGGAATAGGAGATAGAAATAGAAGAATAGAATAGACTAGAATAAGAAGATAGGAATAGAAGAATAGAATAGAATAGAATAAAAAGATAGGAATAGAAGATAGAAATAGAATAGAATAGAATAGAATAGAATAGAATAGAATAAGAAGATAGGAATAGAAGATAGAAATAGAAGAATAGAATAGAAAAATAGAATGGAATGGAATAGGAATAGAACATAGAAATAGAAGAGTAGAAATAGAAGAATAGAATAGAATAGAATAGAATAGAATAGAATAGAATAGAGCTGGAAGGGACCTTGGAGGTCTTCTAGTCCAGCCCTCTGCTCAAGCAGGAGACCCTACACCATTTCAGACAAGTCACTGTCCAGTCTCTTCTTGAAAATCTCCAGTGACTGAGCACCCACGATTTCTGGAGGGAAGCTGTTCCACTGGTTGATTGTCCTCACTGTCAGGAAGTTTCTCCTTAATTCCAGGTTGCTTCTCCTTGATCAGTTTCCAACCATTGTTTCTCATCCTTCCCTCTGGTGCTTTGGAGACTAGGTTGACCCCCTCTTCTTTGTGGCAGCCCCTGTGGTGAATTTTGCCTGTTCAGTGAATTTTGTCCATTTCACAGCCACAGTTGTTAAGCCCCTTTGGGATCTCCCTTGTCTTTGCTTCATTCCCATTGTTGAAGTCAGAGATCTAATATCTCTGCTCTTGATGCCATCTGGTGCGGATGTATTTCGTTGACTGCAGTTTGAGACGCAGGCGGCTCAGATCGTTTGAAAAACGTTTTTTCGGAAGGAAAAAACCCAAAACCTCGCTCTCTTTTAAAAAATATTAGTTAATGGGGGACACCTGTACGAGAGGCTGTCGCTTCTGCTCCGTAAAGACGTCGAGAAGTCCTCCTCCGTTGGACCCCGAGGAGCCGACTAACACCGCAGAAGCAATTGCCGAATGGGGACTTGATTATGTCGTGTTGACCTCCGTGGACCGGGATGGTAAGTTGTGTCCCTTGGCCTGCGAGGAAACACAACA